GCTACCTTGAACTACAATGGAATACCTTTTCATTGCCTCTAAGAAACATATAACAAATGGGAAATAAAAAAAAAAAAAGAAATTCCAGTAGGTTCTGGGGGTGATTCAAAACCTTATTTTCAACCTAATATTATAACCGTTCTATTCCAGAATCTCAACAACGCATCCACAACAAGAGTTGTTTACCAAAAAAATACAAGTCCTGAGAAATAGTAGTAGAAGTAAAATTACGGAATTATAAAAAAAAAATAAAATCTCACCACGTTCGGCATCACAGGTTCCTTTTTGTGAAGGACTCGAGAACAACTGCGCCTCCATTTTATCTTCGTTCTAATCCAGTATCTGTTGGCTCAGCAAACTCATCGTCGGTCTCTATTACCTTCAAATGTGAGATTACCAGTTTTTGTGCAACCACTTCAGTTTATATCACTTACGTCCTAATATTCAAAATAAAAAAATATTGGAATATGTGCGAGCACTTTCTTTCGCAAAAAGTATAGAAGATGATTAATTAAGTATACAAACGATGTTCTTGAAGCAACAAGTGAGCTTATGTCAAAGAACCTATTCTGGTGGTGGGATAGAGAAGCCCACGAGTATCACACATGTGTCGTTGTCGCGGCTTGAATCGGTTGCGACCATAGCGAGCTAGGGCCTTATAAGCTTGATGGCGACAATGTGAACTTGTGGACGAGATCCCTCACGCACACCCCGTGACAGTGTAAATTACGGCGCAGCGGCGAACACAAATTCGAGCAGGTAAGTGGAGTCATGGACCAAGCAGGCAGGAACTCGTCCGAACATAATGACTTGATCGGTTTGCTGCAGTTCTATTTTTCATTTTAAATCGGTCCGCATTCACAATTTCATTGTAGACCCACCAATTTGAACTCAGGTTGTTACTTTAAACATAACAACAGCAAAAATATCAGAACCAAATTATACAGGGTGGGGCAAAATTACTGGTGCACCTATACGTTTTGAATTTTTTAACACTTCTTGGAGATTTTCCTGTTTCACTCGCTTGTGATATGTTGCCTGGAGGTTGCGTAATTCCTACGTACTCGAATACAAAATGGTCCGTCGTTCTGACCTACGGAGCGCGATCATCAAACTTCACAACGACGGCAAGCAAACAAGAGAAATTGTGAAGATCCTTTCCGTACCTCGAAGGACGGTTCAGAATACAGTACGACGCTATAAAGAACTGAAGACCGAAGAGGACAGGGAAGGAAGAGGACGTCCCACAACAGCTACGAGTCGGAGAAATGTGAGGCTCGTCAGAGAAAGAATTCGAAGGAACGCCAGGAGATCGATGCGCCAGATGGCGAAAGACGTTGGAGTAAGCGCGAGGTCAATGAGGAGGATTGTCAGAAGTAAGCTAAGGAAGTTCCCCTATCGCTTGCAGAAATGCCAACTCCTGACGGACATTATGAAGAAAAGGAGATTGGAGAGATGCAAGAAGTTGCTGCAAGCGATTCACGGTGGCACGCGCCCCCGAGACATCGTTCTTCAGTGATGAAAAGATTTTTACTCTGAATCCAGCCTTCAACTCCCAAAATGAGAGGATTATTGCAGGATCACTTGCTGATGCTACCACCAAGGCAAGACTCCAGGAAAGAGCGAAACACCCCCAGTCCATTCTTGTTTGGGGAGGAGTCACCTCTACGGGGAAGACCCCACTTGTTTTCGTTGAAGCTGGTGTAAAAATCAACGCAGAGGTTTACAAAAATATCCTGGAGGAAGTTCTCAAGCCGTGGGCCAACTCCCATTTCGGAGAAGCCTACTGGTGCTTCCAGCAGGATTCTGCTCCAGCACACAAAGCAAAGATGGTCCAGGAGTGGTGCGCCGAGCACCTGCCCGACTTCATCAGACACGACGAATGGCCCTCCAGTTCTCCTGATCTAAACCCGATGGATTACTCTGTGTGGTCCATCTTGGAGAGCAAAGCGTGTTCTACCAGACATCCAAACTTGGACTCTCTTAAGGCGGCGCTTTCAAAATCTTGGGACGAAATCGATGACCAGTACCTGCGTGCCACATGCGAAGCATTTGTCGAACGTCTGAAGGACTGTGTGAAGGCTAAAGGAGATCATTTTGAGAAGCATTAACATTTTTTTTGTATTGTTCATGTTTGTAGTAAATAATATTGATAAGTAGAATTGATTTGTGAGAATTATTGTCAAAATGCCATTGAAAATTTAGTGCACCAGTAATTTTGCCCACTATCCTTGGATTACATTTTTTTAATACCTTCGAAGGAAATTCTGATTTATGGCTCAAGTGACTTCTAAGGCAAGGGCCGCTTCAGGTTTTAGCGGACAGTGTTTTCATGTTCATTACATTACCGCTCGCCTACATGTATTCTCGCTCACAATTGCTTGCGCACATCTTTGAGTGTGTTAAATTAATAAATAAATAATCCGGCTACACAACCAATGCGGGGTGGATAAGCATCGATCGTCGACCGCTCGGTTCATCCGATCGTCTGATCGTTGCGATCGCATGGAAGCGATTGAATGAACTGGATTGCGAGCCATTCTGTGGTAAAAGACCTCGGCGCACTAATTTGCCTTCCGCCAACGTTTACTCCCAAAACAATTGGCCGATTATTTTTGCCCATATAGTTGTTACTGACAAGTGATTATTTGATTCATAACGCGTCTAATCAAAGAATACACACAAAAAAGATAAGAACCACTGATATAATAACTGCAATATCTAGGAAAATAGGTGCTGCAGAAGAGGATATTCAATTCACCTCAAAATCCTTATTGCAATAGTAGAAATGTTGAGCCATACGATTACCATTCCGCGTGCGCATTCCACACTGACAGTGGAATCGCAATCCACGTTGACTGCACTGCAGTGCATCGATTCCTCGACGAACAGAAGTATCAGTTGCCATGCGCCTCTTTCCTGAAAAGCAACTTTTCTGGAAAAAAAACAAAAGCGAAGCTATCCCGCAATTTGTGACGGGGCGGAAGTGGTGTAGTGACAAGTGGCGCGCTTACCACGCGAGCGGTCCGGGGATCAAATCCTGGGTCGTGAGTCGCCCGGGCCAACCAAGCCTTCCATCCCTCCGGGGTCGGTTAATTGGTACCAGACTTGTCTGGGAGGATAAAAACACTGACTTGAACATCGGCTGGCCCCCGCAAGTCATTGTATAGGCCACATCGCATTCAAACGCCACTGCGAATGTACAAATGGAAGTAGAATGCGTGCCGCATCCCAAAAGGGATTGATCAACGGCAAATGCTTTATCCTTTTATCCTTTATCCCTCGGTTTGGTCAGCTTGCAATGTAACCCCTAGGATCACACAAATTCAGGATGGAAGTTCTCACTAAAAAGCACATTATTATTATTAAAAACCAATGCGTGAATTACCGTATAAACTTTCGTTGAACGCGAGCGTGACACATGCAATACACTTTTTAGAAGCAGTCCCGTCTGCGTTGTTTACGCACTGTTTACACTGGTATTGAGGTTTCTGCTCCTGACATACTAGCCGACTTCGCTGGCGAGATCGAGTCTCCGGATTCTGAAAAGAAAAGAATAAGAACAGCCGTGACAAATGTGACAGGGAAACAAACATCTATGAAGAAAACGAGCGTCGACAAAAAGAAAAAACAGAAAAAAATGTACCCTGTACGTCATCGTCCATTTAGGATTGACCGCTGAATGATCCCTCCGATGCTTCTGCTTATCAGCAATATTTGTAAAGGACAAGCGCGCAATGATCACAACCCAGACGAGATTCTGAAGCAACCGGAATATGACGAATTGCCCAATTAGAAAAAGTGATGTAAGAAATTTGAATAAAACCGCTCACCCGATTCATGACTTATCATGTGATTAACAAACTCTGATACACGGATCACTGGTCGCTTTCTTTGATACGAGGGAACAACCAGGGTGAATGTGCAGAATGGACACATGAGCGTGCTAAAAATACAATTATGAAAGTGAGACACTTTGAAATAGTTTAGAATAAAGCAAAGAAGAGGACATTGATATCTTCATTCATTGTACAGTTCTTCGGGGAACACAGCCCCTACTTAGATAAAAAGAAGTTTAGCCTTTCGGCGACCCAGCCGACGGCTCATACGTACTGGAGCTCTCAACTAGATACGCAGTGACAGAGCTACCCGTCGGAGCTACTCTTCATGTGTAGCTTTCTACTATACTTAATTGCCTTGAATAATCCGAGATAGATTTCGCAGAGGAAACTGTTTCAACCCATTGAAAATCGTGGATTTTGTTTCCACATTTCTGCTCCTAGCTCAGATGTCCGTCAGATTCGGCACAATCGCCGAGTCTAACGGACATCTTATATGATACATGCATGGGTGTCTACAGTCCATATCTCGAAGTCTGATTGGGCGTGTCACCGGAAATGACGTGGCAGCCACCGCACTTGATAGATGTTGTGTGGATAAAACATACTCCGCCAGATATCAGCAAAGCATGTTGGAAGCAGCTTATCCGCGCAACTTCTATCAAGTGCGGTGGCTGCCACGTCATTTCCGGTGACACGCCCAATCAGACTTCGAGATATGGACTATACGTAAATGGCTGCAAAAATAGAAGCACAAAACAAATTCAAACACAACAAAATAGAAGCACTGGAAGCAAAGGAACTGACGCATCAAAAAAGTGAATACGAATGGATTTTCCGATCACGGCTGGAGTTGTGCTGCCCACGGCCATAAGAGGAAATTAAAAGTTTTACACAAATGTTGGACCGGATTCAATTGTTGCTAAGTAACAAAAGTCTATTCAAATCCAATACCCAGCCCGAAAACACTTATGAGTCATTCGTTGAAAAAGTTACACCTTCAAAACTGATCAAGATGTGTAGCGCTGCAGCCTTCTAAGAGAATGCTTGTATTGTATAAAGACACTAATAGATAAAACAAACAATAAACCTAAATCAGTTAACTTAAACCTAGAATGGATGAATAAGAGAAACGCTTCAGACAGCGTGTCGTTGTAAAACAAGCTCAGTGGTCAAATTCAAATGTGACCATCAGAAGCGGATGTAGTTGTTTTCTATCAATAAGTCTTGTCTAGCTTTCACTTGCTGAATGAGTTTAAGACTAATTTGAAGTTCTTTCTTTTAACTGGACTGTAACGGGACACTTTAAATCACGGGATTAACTAACATTGAGGTACCGGCGTTTAAATTGAAAGCAACAAAAATTTTTTATTATGTCCTCCTGTATGGGCTTTCAATGGCTACATATACTCGGTCACAAAATACCAATTAAGGAGAGTTTGTGTAAAATTTCCCTCCCGACACTACAGAAAATCAATAAACGAGGCGTGCGCCATTTCATTCTCAGCGCGGCAGAAACTTTAGCGCGCATCCTAATCGAGTAGATATTCCAAAGAACATCCTGATAAGACTAAAGCCGCTGATACACTTCAAATTAATATGCTTGAGTTGTAGCGAGAGAAGCCGGAGAATGCTACGCCCTTAATTTTTCAAGTTTTAAGGCTTCACAACCGACCGCTTTAGAAAAGCAGATAATAAATACGAATCGTTTAGCTTCTTAATATGTGTTATACTCTTATGAGCATATGCAACCTATCCTTATAAGGTCTCTCTGACAACTGGAACCCGAGCAAAACAAGACGCATAAGTAGCCCATTCTAAATCAAAGAAACGCACAAGCACACTTTTCTAGATCAATCGAGGACTAAACTACGTCAAAATGGGGAATCGCAATCAGTAAGCACATCGCAAAAGAAATTCTTTAGCGATAGGAAGTACTGTACTAAGACACTGTCAACGTTCGCGTAAGTGAAAAAAAAATGAGAATAAAATTAAAAAGAGGAACGAGGGACCTCGTGTATTTTTGGTGCTCCGAATCGAATGATTCAACAGGGCATGCGAACTGTGACGATAGCGAATCGTTGCGTGGTAAGGAGTACGCTCATTTGGCTAGGGTTGTAGAATGATCGTGAAGCATGAATTTGCGAGCAACTGGAGAACAGTTACTACAAATTAAAAGATTCCTAAACAGATAATTACTCGGAGCGGAAGTCTTTATCGCAGATAGCGCAGTGCATCGATTTTACAGTGTTGAGGTTTGGTCAGGAGCATCGTGTATAGTGCAACCTTAAACTTCACTTACCTCTAAAAATCTATATGAGTATCGAAAAACCACACGATTGTACCATTCTATAAAGGGAAGTGTAATATTAAAATAGGAGAGGATAATGTTCTCTAGTTACTGCTTATGTAGTGGAGTGGAATCGAGCCGTACCAGCGTCGGCAAGTCGATAGGATATCAACGTCGTTTCTTTTAGACGGTGCCGTGGAGATAGAACTGTCGCTGAGTATTGGAAATGAAGGCGATTTCGGATCATATTCCTTCCACGTTGCTATGTGCGCCCAAAGATGGCAGACGAATGATACGTTACCGGTTATCACACGTCGGCAACTTGGGTATTGACACTGAAATTGCAATGAGTGAAACAAATTATCTAAGTCGGCACTCCATAGTAGCAGTGCATAGTTCGATAGGTCTCTTTCATCGCCAAACGTTAGGCTCCTTGAAATCAGACTAATGGTGAGCTCGTTCTCCTTCATGACCATCAATCAAATATGCACATTTTTCAGAGGAGTAGGAAAGGGAATCCCTTTGGATAATGTGTTTTCCCAACCAGGAAAGAAAAATGTGAAAATATTTCATAAAGTAATAAATAAATTTTGAGGAATCATTTTCCACATTTCCTGTTTCAGCTTGTGACCTCAAAAAGCTTTCCTCAGCAGTCGCACAACAAGCTGAAGATATCGAGGGGTGTGGTTTCGCTAGAGAAGCGACTTTCTCCGCTTCTACTTAACGCTAAACTCTTTTCGCTACGGTTACTTAGCGCAAAACTCTTTTCGCTCCGGAAACTCCAAGTCCACTTATGATGAATGGAGGACCTAAGCGATAAAAGTTTCGCGCTGTAAAACGCGGAGAAGTCGCCCTAGCGCACAACACCCGATATCGAGCAGCTATTACAGTGAAATACAAGCACAAAAAATTTGTAGGCTATTCTGGCCAAAACTTCACACTTGAACATTATTGCGACCATTAAATTATATAGTCCAGTTGGAGAATTATTGAGACCATTAAGTTATACAGCCCACTTGTAAACTCTCAATGCCGAAGATGACCCCACTAATTACAAAAGCGGCATTTTCCGAAAATATTATAGTATCTCGAACTTTGAGGTGAATCGAGCTTGTGAAACTGGTACTGCGAACTACGAAAAACACTTTAAATGCACATTAATTCTAGATTGCCTATCATTCCCGCATTCATTGGTGATATCACATACAAATAAAAAGTTGTCGGATTCAGCCCAAATTTTCAATCCACGCTAGCTTCGCTAGGTGGATGTTGAATCCATCATTAGAGAAAATCCAGTTTGATTAGGTCTGCTGATCCACAGCTCGACATGTGAAACGCCAACAAAGAAGGTTCATTCGAAACGAAGTAGCTCTTATTACTGGACTCATTTTTGCACCTAGGTCCGCTGGAGAGGATGCTATCTCAAAATATCTTAGATTATCCTTTGAATGACATTTTCCGAATGCTTCTATAGCTTTGGCCATC